CATGTCATTTGGCTATTTAAATAGTTAGAAGATTTCATTAATAACTTTTAGAGTTATTACTAAGAACTCATTTGTAAGCTTATATATTATTTGTTCGCCCATTTTTATGGTTTTGCTTTAGTGTCATAAATGCTCTGCGTCAGTTTTTCGACACCTGAAAATATATACAATTTTTTTTCGGAGCACTCTTTTCCAACTCTAGGCATGGCTTACAACTTTTGTAAGTCCTATAACGGGCAGTTCTTTTGACAACTGTGTAACGTGAACATACAAAGTGTGTTAAAAAAGTAAGGTGACTTTATATAAAAAAAAATATTCATTTATTCATCAATACTTATGTTAACCCTTATAAAGTAAATCTCCTACGATACGATACACTCGTGCCAACGCTTTTTTCAATCTTCGAAGCGCTTCTCATAAGCATTTTCCAGTACAGCTTTGAGCTCATTCAGCAATGCAGTCTGTGTGTTTTTGATCATTACAAATCTCTGACCTTTCATAGGTCTGTTTAGTTATAAGAGTAAAAAAAAAATCTTTCACAAGCAAAGATGAGTGAGCAGAGGCATGATGGTGATGTAATAGCCATGAATTGTTTCTCCACGATTCCAAACGTTTTCTTCATATTACTTTTCTCAAGTGGTGTATTGTGACCATCGGTCGTATAACTATATAAAAAATAGATACATTTTTCTTTAAATTCGTGTATACGTTTTTATATGTGAGTTTAAAGTTAGGCGCTCATAAAGGGCAAGTGCACTCGCGCATCAGATAGGTGCTTCTCTAGGAGCTTGCTACACAACACGTTCCGTACCGCCGCCCGCGTCGCAGTCTACAAGCCTACCACAGTACGAGATGGAATAGTCGCCAAGGTATGACTTTTTCTTGTTACCTGTCTCTTTTTGGCACGTCGATTTCTTAAAGTAAGGACGGCAAAGATTCGTGTGCCTCCCTAAAACCGAGGTCTCATGCAATAGCTAGATGAGAGTCCCAGCTCTCTAACTTGGATTCCCTTGCTTGGGAGGCTACGAGGCCTCTCTTTCTAATCAAGTCTTAGTTGGCAGTCCATTTGTTGCGCACCTTACGGCTTTTTACATAAATGTGTTGTTTAATTTATGCGTTTATAACCATTATAATTATTAAATGTTAAATAATTTTTTGAAATACTTGAAACACAAACGTATAAATAAATAAGTTAGACTTACTTGTCATAACAAATATACTAATTTTTTTAATAATAAAATTCTAAGTCATGTAAAAGGAGAAATAAAAATATTATTAGGCGTAAAGGCATATTTCAATAGTCTAAGTAAAAAATAAATATTGAATTAGTTGGTGTAGATATTTAAAATATTATGTAAAATATACTTATGTTCGTGCAAAATAACAAATGGTCTTGGGTTTTAGTACTAAATGAGCTTTTTGTACAGAANTGTTGTTTAATTTATGCGTTTATAACCATTATAATTATTAAATGTTAAATAATTTTTTGAAATACTTGAAACACAAACGTATAAATAAATAAGTTTGCGTCGTTCTTAGAATTAATTCGCGTTCTTATTCTGTAGATCGTGGTAGTTTTACATGATTGTCTTTCATATTGATTTTTTTATAGTACTCCAAAAACAAGTCTAATGATAATATATAAATGAAATAGATAACATAACGACCTTTTTCTATCTCCTAGTATAATTCATAATTATTTGGGCTATTCCTTCACTATCCGGGTTCGCTAAATCTGTTAATTCGAGTTAACAGTGACCAGCGACCTTCACTTTTTCTGATTGTTTTCCCTTCATACTCCCTTCTTGTGTAAGTGGTTGAAGTCCCAAATTATTTAATATAACACTTCGTATACATGTACAATACACTAATGCATTGAAGGATTTCAAAAACGAAAAGAAAACCATAATTTCATAACCATTTAAAGTTCATACAACCAAATATCAAGGCCATAAGTTTATCTCAATATTTGGTTTAAGAATTCCAGTGTATTCACGAAAAGATAAAATTCAAAACGTTACAGTAAAACTTCAAGATAATACTCTTTCTTGACCATACGACCATATAGTAAGAAATTCTAATGCACTACGCTGCGGTAATCAAAGAAAACAGTGAAAAAAAATCTAATATTCAATCAAACTTGGCGTTTTTTTTTTGGCTCATCCAGCCTCTTACATTAGGACGATGAAGTTTTGGTTTCGATATTATAAATATATACCTACAATTTGTCACCAGTTATGACCCTTTTGAGAAAATCTCTAACACATATCTCATGCCCAAACATTCGAAAAAATGTTATGGTACGAGCTAAGTGATAGATGCGACAGTTTTCCAAAACAATTTTGTTCGGACTCGCCTCCAGCGTTTGTTTACGTGAAATCTCAGACATTCTTAAACTCGTTCACTAGGTGCGTAATATACTAATTGCACTATACATGGAAAGAAGAAAATAAAAAAATTAGCGTTTTCTCGAACTGACCAAGAATTGGTAAAGCTGATAAAATTTTATTTTGAACTAGAAAATCTTGATGAAATAGGAGTAATAATTATAAGTGGAAAAGACAAACGCGCTTTTAAAATACTTAATGAAACAAGCCGTTATCGTAAAAATAAATGGACCGTTCAATAATTATGGAGGAAAGACGACGAAGTTTTTTCCAATAGTCCTAAAAATGCATAAAAAATATTAGTATTCACAAGAGCAAAAATTAGGCAGTGATTCAAACTATCCACAATGATATCGAAAAGACTTTGACCGTTTAATAGATAACAGTTTTGTCCAAAAGGTTACTAAGGAGTTAATTAATAACAGGTTATGGTACCTTTTGCATTCAGGGTACAAAATGTGAACAAACCCGGTAAAACTCGTTTCGTTTTCGACACAGCTTCAAAATCGAAAATAATTTTGTGTAACAACTTACTACTTTTCAGTCCTGTTTTTATAAAACCTTTGTTAGGAATTTTCCTGCGATTTAGACTATATTTTTATGCTTTACAAACTAATCTATGAGATATGTTCTAAAAAATCAAAATTCATTAGGGGGATCAAGACGCTACACGTTTTTTTTAGTACGAAACTCAGAATTCGAACAAAGTTAGTGAATACAGAATGACTTCTATGATTTTCAGCGCAAAATAATCCTCAAATACCGCGCTAATTATTAAAGATAAAAACGCTTGCCTCAGTAAAGAAAAGTATCGTTTGACCGCAAAAATATTGATCAAAAACTGCTAAATGAACGATTTCTTGGAAAGTTATAGCTCTATTTGTGGCGGCTTTCAGACGAGTAACTCACTAAAAAATGCATAGTTCGGCATCTAACAATAAATCGGTGTTAATGGACTCAAAAATAACATTATTTGTAAAATCTGACAATTTAGAAAAGAGCCAAGAAAAATCACTAGGATTAAAGTAGCTCGATATTTTGGACGAATAGACAAAAATAAACGACAATACATTGGTACAGACTTAATTGACGAAAATAAAAAATTTAAGAAGCGAGAATTTTTTAGCATAATTATGGGAGTCTTCGATTCACTAGACTTTTTAGCTCCCTTAACTGCTCAGTCGAGAATATTGATGCAAGATGTATAGTTAAGTAAAATAAAGAGAGACGTCTGTATGAAGGGATCGGAATATTCACGCTAAATACGTGGGTTTACGAATTGCAACAAGCTAAATCATGTAAAATTTTAGGATGCTATCAATTTAACTGTTATCAAACAAGCAGAGCAGAATAACACGTATTTTGTGATGCGAGCTCTAAAGCATATACTATCGTAGCGTATTGACAATTTTTAATTAATAATTATAATCACATTTCTTGATCATATCTGAAAGTCACGGGGCGAAAATACAAAAATCTAAATCTAATCAAAAAGACTCGTCGATCCCGCGATAAAAGTTACAAGTGGCTGCTTTAGAAACTAAAACTGATTAAGTATAAAAGACGAGTATTGGTTTAAAATATTTAAAAAAGTTTTTAACACAGACTCTGAAACTGTACTTCAATAGATTCGGAAATACCCTAGCGATTTTAAAACTTTTAAGGGAAAATAAGCGTTAATGGCCGCGGGAAAATTTTCTCAAACAATTTAATCATGACTTCGCTTATGTTACCCAATTGTATAAACATGAACTAATACAAATTTTTCGATTTTCTTTTAGCAATCGTTTAATTTTTTTAGTAACATCAGTTTTGCAAGCAGTTTATTTACTTACCAAAAAAAAACGTGTTCATTGCATATAATAGTAAGGCTAAAAAAATCTGTATTTAAATTGGTCGAACAGTTACTTTTCCAAATAAAATAAAAGCAATTTGAACCGTTACCAAAAAATAGCCTAATCCTAACTATGAAAGCAGCTTTAGATGAGTGTTGAGCTACAAGCCATTACTTACGCAAACAATTTACCGTCATATCGTATTTAGCTACCCTAAACTAACCAGAAAATTTGTCAATTAAAGAATGTTTTGGAGTGATCCGTAAGTAAGAGGACGAGAGTTTACATCATGTTTGATTTCAATCAAGAAAGTCACCAAAACTTCCTCTCGAGGAGCTTGCTCTTTTAATCATTCTCTTTCACGTAAACAGTATTGAGTTTTACTTTTGTTTATTCGTAAGCATTTTTTTCGTTTCCTTCCTACATAAGTTACTTTTTTTTATGAGCCCTACTGCTAAGTTTCTTAGACGAATCAATAAATTTTTATACTGGCTAATATTCACACTAATATTGATAGTTTTAAATATCGGCTTGCTCTTTGTAAACAAGTGAATGAATCTTCACTACAAACTAAGCTCATGAGCAATGATTTACTTTCAAACTTATTTTTTTACTCAAAAGACGGATGTCCAAAAAAATTAGTAATTTAATCATTTCCTTATGTCCATAAAGAGTATTTAAATTTAAGTATAAGAATGATTGTAAAAATTTAATTATAATTTTTTACGTATAAAAATCTTTAAAAAATCACTTTGTATTACATAAAATTATTTCTGACCTGTGAAGTAACAATGGCTTGCCAGGCAAAAAGTTGTTGCATTATTTGAAAACGAGCATCTTCAATGCTTGGGTATAAGTACATAGTTTGATTGGTGATCCTAACTTCGTGTAACTGATTCTGAACTTTGGGATCCCCACCTAATCTGTGTGTTGGTTGTGATGGAGCATCAGTATCCATACTCAGATCAACATCTTTTTTTCGACCCATCAAAGCATCCGTCCAGGCTTTAATTCCTGCTTCAAGGCGAGAAGCGAGCTTCCTTTCGACTTCTTCATCAAGTCTTGAAACCCAGATATGGAGATTAGAATAATTTTTCAAGGATAATTCATCGACAGACTTTTGTATTTTTGTTAAGATGTCAGCAAAAGTATTAGCTGAGTAGGGACATGTTTCTAATGATCTCACATCGATATCTAATTGTTCTTCAACGACCAATAAGTCTTCAACTTTTTCTTGGAAAGATAGTACTACATCAGACAATCGCTGTACATAAGAATCTAGTTTATAGCTTTCCCAGATCAGCGTTATACCCTAAATTTAAATTTAACAAATAAAATAAACAATAAATCAAAACATTATCTACTATAAAATCAAAGCTTACCTCTGATATAAGACTTAGAACGTCCTTTCTTAGACCAGCGATAAGGGGAATAATATTTGACTTATCTTCGATCTGTAAATGTGAAAAAAAAACTTTAAGATAAAGAGTGTAAGAAATTCAAGTGTACTGCATTAGTAACAAGAGACATTAAAAAAAAAGAATTTGTAAAATTTAATNCATTTCCACTATACCTATTGGTTCCCGATTTATATAATGTATCAAAGGAGTGGTTGCAAATTCAAGGTTAATTTGAAATGTCTTCTTCTACGATTTTGCAGCCATGGGGTTGTAAGATTATGAGATTAAGAACCTGTGTGATGTAGTAACTGATACCTAAATTTGAATCGTTATTAGTTTTACAAAATCTTAACTCCATAACCTAGTTATCAATATTACAAAAACTATTTTTTTTACAATTTTTACATAAAAAAAGTTTACGTACATAGATCGGAGAAAAGGGTAGTGAAAACTACACAGTGAGCCATATGTATGTAAGCTGTAGCGAGCCCAGAAAAGGCACAGTGTAACTTAATAATCACAACAAATTACAGTATAAGTTAGTTTTTTGAAAGTAGAAAGTATTGAGTGGAAAATATCTGAGCATAAAAAAAGCAAAGAACTTAGAATCATAATGAGTCATTAATAGTAATAGCACAAGAATAAGAACATTTAGAGCACTGTCAGCTGTTTCATTAAGGCTGCACTCGATTTATTTTTTTCTCTTTCTACTACTTATCTTTTTCTCTCTTCAAGCTCGCGTTTTCCGTGGACTTAAGCACTATGTACATGGATATACTATATGCCAAGCATCAGAGCTAGCGCTTCGCAACGAACTTATCAGGAGAGATAAAGGAAGATAACGATGCAACGTCTGGTCTACCTTTCTTTTCTTCCTAACGCGGTGATAATTTTGTCTAAATTTTGTCCAACTTCATAATCATGTCTTTGTTTTCCATGAAAAGGGTGATGTAGTTGAATAAGCAAATGCGTAAGCCAGGGTATTTTTGTTCATTTATTTGGTCAAAGTTCAATCAATGCAATTTGACAACGGCATGTTGCATTTCTATCCTTTTATTTTTTTAGCACTCTTACAATATCAAAAGCCGACAAGCCAAAAATTGAGCAAACTATAATGCGTCGTACTTTTGACCCCATTAACATTACAGTCGAGCGAACGCTGGGATCAGTATCACTGCTATATGATATTCCTTAACAAGTAAGCATATATCCCTAAGAACAACAACAATACATGTTAAGGAAGACAGAAAAGATATAGAAAATCATTCCCTCTCCCTGCCACGAGATAATACAGACTCATTCTAAGAATTTATGAACGTCTTATTGTTTCTGGCCATTGAGACGACGATAAGGAGGTAAGATTTTTGGGTATACGAGCCTATAGTTTCTTTCACGAGCAATCTATTCGATGGTCAGACCAGCTTGGGTGGATACTTAAAGCCGTGGCCAGACTCAGTACACGACCTGAAGAACCCAGTCGGTGCTATCTATGGTCAAGACAGCTTAGGAATTATTCCTACAGCAGTAGCCAGACTTATCACGTAACCTGAAAAATCTAGTGATATAATTTGAATAGTTACTAATATGGTGTATGATACAAAATAAACATTATTCAGCCTTTCCCTCGTTTTATCGCATAAAATACCTTGTTGTGTGCCACTTAATTAACTAAAATCAATCTCTAACGCTACATTGTGTGCTAGTTGGTGCAAATTCCAACAGTCAAGCCACTAGCTAAAAACTTCATAACTAATTGTCTGCTATTGGTGGAAATGCCAACAGCATAAAAACGCGTATATTACACAGCAACAAAAAAAAAGTGAAATATATATCTCTGAGGTCTAAGTAGGTGTACTAAGAGTTTTCGGGGTCACTTAATCTGAATATGATGTCCATATAACTCCATGTCATCAGGATTTTACATAACCTCAAAAAAACTACTTCATAATAAAATATCTCGATATATCGAGCTCTACAATTCCAAAAAAAACTAAAAACCATTAAAAATGACACCCTTAACACCTTTATTACTCTACATCTTTCCCCCACAATGACACAACCCAATAACCTAATAACCCTACAACCCCATAACCCACACTGAGAGATACTTTCCATTTACGTGCACAGTGTACGTTTGGCGTTCAGCCGCGTGGTGGCGTGTCGACACCCAACTAGCTGAGTGAATACCGAGCGCTCACTCAGCTTTCAGAGGAACAAATTTCGTTCACTCACAAATCTGAGTGAACGCACTCGACGGGCCGTACGAGTGTCTAACCGACACTGAGAATATCATATATATACATACGTATTTATATGTGCATGGATATACATGATGTTTATCATTTTAGTTTGAAGGGTGACAGCATTGCTATCGTTACTTGTACAAGAAATTAAATTTAAGTAATAAGTGTAAGACGGAATTTTTTTTTTTACAAAACTTTATTTCATCAATAAATCGTTCAATGACTTTTAATATTTTTTAAATACATCTGCCATCTGATGTTGCACTTGCCATTTATTCAAGATTGCACATGACACAATAGCATTGAACTGAAAAAATATCATTTAACTTATCACTTATAACGGCACATGAAAAAAAAGACAAACAACAAGTATACTCTGAATTATAGAGGTACTGTTAGTATTGTCTTTAAGTGAATCAAAAGCACGTAAAAAATACTTATCTTACACTAATTAGTCAACTTTTCCTGCTCCAGTAACAACACTTTCTTGAAGAAATACTGTTCTTCGAAATCAGCAATGTCTATCGCGTGTACGTACATATATACGTGTGATATTCTCAGTGACGGTTAGACACTCATACGGCCCGTCGAGTGCGTTCACTCAGATTTGTGAGTGAACGAAATTTGTTCCTCTGAAAGCTGAGTGAGCGCTCGGTATTCACTCAGCTAGTTGGGTGTCGACACGCCACCACGCGGCTGAACGCCAAACGTACACTGTACACGTAAATGGAAAGTATCTCTCAGTGCAGAAAAAAAGTCAAAACGTCTCAGCTCTGATGCTTGGTGTTTACGAGCTTGATGTAGTAACTGATACCTAAATTTGAATCGTTATTAGTTTTACAAAATCTTAACTCCATAACCTAATACCATAACACAATAACCCTACAACCCCATGACCTAGAAAATAAGTCAAAACGTCACTTGTGAGTGCCTCAGCCCTAACGCTTGGTGTTTGCAAGACAGATATAGCACTTAAGACTTAAATCTACATTGTTATCGATTTCACTAGACCTTAACTCCATTACCTACTAGTTGTGTTTTCTCAAGCCTAGAGATTGTGTTGTGAGAGCACAATCTTCGGGCTCATGCAGCTCAATACTACGTTGAACTGTACATACACAATGCATTGAACTATAGCAGTGCATACTGACGTGCTATCACAGTTCAACATACTTTGAACTCTCACAGCCACAGTGTACCAGCTTTCAGTGTTCAAAATTATTTTCCGTGTAATAACCCTATACCATAACCTTATAACCTTACAACCCCACAACCCAGAAAATAAGTCAAAACGTAAATTGTAAGTGTCTTAGCCCTGAAACCTGGTGGTTACACGACAGATATAGCACTCGAGACTTAAAACTACATCGTAACCCACTAACTCACACTTATTGGGGTGCTTTATTACAGTGTGTCTCCTTGCCCCACGCTCATTGGTGTGCTTTGTTACAGTGTGTCCCCTTGCCTCACGCTTATTGGGGTGCTTTATTACAGTGGGTACCCTTGCATCACACTTACTGGGGTGCTTTTATTACAGAGCCCCCTTGCTTCACACTAATTGGGGTGCTTTATTACAGTGTGTCCCCTTGCCTCACACTTGTGAGACATTTTATCGGGGTATGATCCCCGTCCATTAACTAAATAAGCAATATGACTCCTAGATTATTACATTAATACAATAGGGATCATTAAAAAATTGTCAAATTTGAGGACCGTCGAAAATGCCTGCATCCAATTTTACCTCGCTGAGTTTGGCCATTTTGACTCGTATGTACTTAAGACACTTACCATCTTTGTCTAAAGCTTTCACTTACTGTTTAATTAAACCAAGTTTGAGATGCAAAGGTGAAATCAACTATTTTATCTCGTGTACAAGAGGTGGCTTAATAACGTTTGCAGAACCAAATTGTAGCTATGATCGTTTGAGCCACTCTTTCTCAAGGTAATAATTGTTTTTATCTCTGCTGTCGAATAAACATAAAAAACATGGGAATTTTACGTTGCCACTCTGCATATCCAGAATCATTCCTATGATTTTAAGATCACCACAAATTTCCCATTGATGTTCAGAAAATTTCATTTTCTCCAGAACAATTTTAACATTTTCATATATTTCCTTCAGAATTGTAGAGTGGGCAATTGGTGCAGGGGATAAGATATTTATATTATGCAAAAGTATTGTTTTTAAACTACGATTAGAAGAGTCTACAAAGAGACGCCATTTGTCTGGTTTGTAAACATCAGGTTTGAGTGTATTTAAAAGGTTGGGAATATCATTCCAATGTACAAAATCGAGAGATTCATCCTCAGTAAAGAAAGGTCTACATTCACTCTCTCGATTTCAATAAAATGTTATTTTGACACCTTTTTCCAGAAGATTTTTTTTCTTCCAACCTCGAGGCCAAGAGCTTGTGAGCCTCTTTTGATAGGCCCAATTCTCTTCCAAGATCACTCAATTTATCTTGACTGAATCATTCAGGCAAGTAATTTCGGCTTGTGTTAACAGAAGGTGTATCCAACCCATTAGCACTCTCACTTTCTATCATGTCTATATCAGCTGTAACCATTTTTTGTACATCATTGGTATCTATTCTTTCTACATCATTCGTATTCATTCCTTCTGCATCATTTATTTCAACACTTATATTAACTTAACTTTTTATTGGGCGACCACATTTTGCAACAGAACCTATTTTGCAGAAATGACTGTCTTTGTTTTAAAATATTTGATTTTCTAGCGGGTTTTAAAATTGAAATACCGTGTGTCAGTCATACAGAAAAAACATTTATTTTTCGGTTCTGCCTTGTTCC